TTAATTATTTAACTAACCAAAAAAAATTACATCTTTATTAATAACAAATTAATTCTTAAACAAAACTATTAAATATAAACTAGGCAAACGTGCAGTGCACGTTGCTTGCACCTAGTAATCCTAAAAACTATTACTATTGTATCCATAATCATTCCCTGTAAAAATATGATTTTGGTTCTTAATAAAACGCACACAAATCTATTGACGCATATTCTCTCTTTTATTTCTCTTTTTTCATAACAATTCATCAAATCAAAGTAAATTAGTTAGAAGTTAATATTTTTTATAAACATAATTATTTATCATGCACAACAAAATTAATTGATGAGGTGTGAATTTTTTATCTATGCATTGTAATATCAATTAAACCAGTTTGTCAGGCATGCTTCTTGTCATCCTATTCTCTCTCTCTCTCTCTCTCTAATTTTGTGGCACGCAACCCAATACCCGTTTAGAATTCATATAAAATATTTTTTTATTTGTAATCTATTTTGCCCAACTTTTGTGTGTATCATTGTGCCAAATCAATTTTCTGCCGCCGCAATAATTTTTTTTTATGTAAACAATCAAATGCTAGTCCGCCGTTCTTTGGTTTTTGCCGATTTTTTATGACAATTGTCTTTGGTTTCTTATTTTTTGGTAATGTTAAATGCTAATTTTTATACACATTGTCCATAATGATTACGTTTTACATTTTTTTTAATGCATGTCTGCATATGAAGATTGTGTTTGTATATGAAGATTTTTTTTTACTAATGTATGTTTGGTAATTAATTACTAATTTTACCATATCTTATAATAATTAATATTTTAATTTGATTAAATATTTTTAGATGTTCTTTTACAAATTTTAAATTGATAATCTATCATGTTGTTGCTCTTAAAAAACACAAGTCTTCAAATATAAAATTCTACTAGAAAACAAACCCTTGAAGAGTTAATGTTTCTAAATAATAGTATGTCAGTGATCTTGAAATAGTACAACATTATTAATATTCTAAAAAAGAATATGACTCACTCCTAAAGAGCATGAATTATAATTTTCAATATCTCAAAAGAATATTTACATATTGCTCTTGAATAATCAATAATATATATATATGTCGTTGTGTTCATGAAGAAACACAAATTAAATTACTCAATATTGGGTTATAATTTTTTATTTTATTAATATTCAAGAAGAATATTAATTTATCATTGCTAAAGAGTATAACATTCAATGTTTCAATATTCTCGAAAAATATTGTATTATTGCTTCTAAAAGAGAAAAAATATAATTGAAATTAACATTAGCAGAAAAAATGTTTATATGATATCAAGTGCATCAAATATCGTTGAAAGTTTCGAATGAGCTTGTATTATTTTATCAAATAATACAAATTATATATTGACGATATACTTTATTCTAACAAATTCAGAAGAAATTTGTTTAATTTTAAAAATATCACATGCAATGGATATCACATTGAAACGATACAAAAAAATAATTTTGAATATATTAGCATAATTTCTTTTATATTTGGCCAGATGCAGATAAAAGAAAAACTCATGCACTCTCATCTTCATGTATTATACATTTATAAAAA